GTTTAGGAGTAATTAAGGAAAAATGAAATTTTTTGCCAAAAGTTCGCCGTTTCGACGCTGGGATGGTTGGATTTTGTCAACATCAATAAAATGCCAAATAATCATACGTAACTCGTTAAATATCGAAGTTAGAAGGAAAAAAACTTTTATTTGAAGCATTCTCCGCAATTTTGAAAAAAAAACATTTTCGTCAGCGCCAATACTTAATTGGATATTTCCTTCTATACTTTTTAACACGTAGCTATTTATTATTAGCATTAATCTTCCGACGTCTGATTTCTTTTTAATTATAGGAAATGCGTTTTTCTAAGGTACATAAATATTTGGGATTGACTGTATAGCCAATACATCCTTAAGTTAGAAAGTAGTGATACGAATTGAAAAGACCTCTGAACATGTTGCTTTTGGTAGTAATAGATTTGAATACAGAGGCAACTGCTTTGTAAATACTTCCTATGTGTTAAACTCTCACAAACAATCACTGGAAAACAATCGATGTTATACAAAGTTCCTTAGAATCAAAGTACTGTAAAAAGAGCTAGATAATTAATAGCGTCACAAAAACTGCGAGAACCGTTTTCCACCCTTCTAGGGAATGGACAAAGAAATGAAAAGAATCGTTGTTGAAACGATCGTTGGGTCTTTGCAAATGCTACGCGTGGTCATGGAAATCTTGTGGCACAATGAAATCTCGGGGAAAGCGGAGAAAGCATGGCCGCGACTGAAGTAAATCGTGGAGGAGGAGAAAACGAACGTGGTGATTAATGTTGGCTCTGTACAATTACTTAATTAAATTCATGCATCACGTGGTATTATGGGGAACCCGCGTTGCGATTCGACCCTTTGTAACGACCCTTTTGATGCGATGCTCCTATCTCTCAGTGGCATCACAAGCATCTCCCTTCGAAACGGTTATGATACCAGCTCGGACTTTAGACTCGCGTTGATATTGGCCCAGGCGTTCCTAATAGAGGAAGATATCGATGACTGATATCGCGGTCTTTGGGTAAACGGCATTGTCTATTATCCGCTTGAACTATCTATGTAACGGTTATCATGGCAACATTCGTCAGTGGAAACTTGTTTGAAGTAGATACCGTAGATGGAAAGAGAAGAGTTTGTTAAAATGCATAACTACATAAATGATTTATTCATTTGAAAGCGTGCGAACTATTTAAAATACAAGTCATAATATTTGTAGAACATAATGTCCCCTTATTTCCTCCACATTCAATACAAATTAACGAATACGTTCATATATGTACATATACATAGGTGCATATATTTATAGCAACTTAGATGTATAAATTAAATATCTCAATGAATATAGTGCAGAAAAAGCTGGAAAAGTATAACATAAATAAAAGTATGTACACAAATAAAGTGAGTTGAAAAACAAAATAAATTTTTATTCGGATTCAATTTAATCAATAGTTAAATTTTGCCAACATGTAAATTAATAACGCCTAGCGGGATTTCAAATGGGCTCAATGCAAAAGCACATACATTGCCAGAGAGTCATACTTAACACCCCAGAGGTAGTTACGATATTGCCAATTTACGCACACACTGTCTTCCGCGATTCATAATACTCTTGAAGCATTTGAATCAATTACTGCCTTGGGGTCCTTAGGCGGCCCTAGCCGGGATTACAAACGGGTAGTCCGGCGCAAAGTGAATTAATTAAGTGTCCGTGGGTAGTGAACAGCACGACCGTGTACCGTGGCTCGCGTTACTATCCGTTTCAACGATATCGCGATCACGAACGCCCTGTAGCTACGACGATCAGTTGATCGTACCGCTTAATTGTTACTGCCGAGCCCGGCTGTCGCGACGGTTCGATAACGTCGTTATCGCCGGTCGCGCGATTATCCTCAGCGTGGTGCTCGCGAACCCGCAGGACATCCCTGTAGGGGCGCGAGCGCGGGGTGGAATTTGATCGTTCGGGATTCTGATAGACCGTCTTCCCGATACGAGCGGGCCAAGGGTTGGGAAATGGAGATCGGCCCAAGTTTCGGTTAATTAGATCCTAGCTGGGTGAATTTTGATCGTTTTCCGTCATCGAAGAATTCGGGGAATCTGAAGAGAGCTGGTAGGAGTTAGTCTGATGTAGCGATGCTGAAATAATTTATGTATACATATTTAAGAAAGTAAGGACGAAGAATGTCGGAAATACATTTTATTGAGTCGCTATATTACGTTATAAATATCCACGTCGAATAAATTTGAAAAGATGAATATTGGAACGTCGTCACTGAAAAACTGAAGGGTCTGAAAAATTAACACCTTGTTCATTTCCAATTTTCTTTTTAAATTTTCAGACTCAGAGAAGATTCCAGCAACACTTTAATGTCGGAATCTATATATCTTCTAGTAATAATATGACTCAAAACTTAATCTTGCCTGATGTGAAGGAACTAAAATAAAAAAACTCTTTATTAATATTAATTACCAGCCCTAGTATTAATTATTTTTATCTGCTTTTCGCAACAGTTTTTATTTCCAACCCACGAACACTTTCAATTTCCGATTTTGGCGATCGCAACCGCGACAAGTGTCGGAGGGTTCGCAATCGAGATCGAAATGGAAGCAGGAAGAGCCAGGGGTTGATCACCTATACCTACACGGTCCTGATTAAAGAGGGAAACCGGCCAACATCGACAGTCGTGCGGCGAACCACAGCCACGGTGTTAGGCAGTTCATGTTGCGGGCGCGATTTCAAAAAGTTTCAGAGCACGGGTTGAATCACGCCGCCGCGCCACGCCGCTATGTCGTTAGCATGATCCGTGTACGCTGCGGATTTGTACGTCAAAATTTATCGTTCGAGCCGCGCGGCACGTCTCGTTAATTATGCACGTATGTGGGCGCGATACCCAACGATCCTGGAAAAGCCCTGGTAATAGGCTCGATGCCGGGTCCTACGCCTCGACGGCAAGCCTGGGGACGTTGGAATCAATCCCCGACGCGTTCGTGTCCATTTTGATGAGATTCCGTTTCATCGGGGAACGCACATCGACCCTTTTCCCTTCTCGGTAACACGATCGGTGTACCCGAAGCGCACGTGTATGAAAGTTAATGAGTCGAAAGAGGGAAAGTTTTGCAGACTATTAGTATCGACATGATCGTTGATTAATTTTAGACGGCCAGGATTTTCGACGACTTTGTCGGCTAGGGATATTTTACGTTTGATCTGATGCAGACATTTATTTAGAGTTACATGCGTTCGGCTTAAACGAAGAACATTCATTTCTTTTAAGATTACTTTTCAAATCTGTCAGATCATAATAAGTG